CCAGAAACTCAACAGAAGAACGAAGTTCTACAAGCAGTAAGAGAAAAGAAACAAATCACATACAAAAGAAAGCCCATCAGAATCACAACAGACTTCTCAACACAAACCATCAAGGCAAGAAGGGCTTGAATGTCATATCTCAAGCCCTAAAGGAAAACAACCTCCAACCCAGATTGATGTACCCTGCAAAACTATCTTTCAAAATTGGTGGAGAAATAAGATACTTTCATGAAAAAGAGCACCTTAGGAACTTCATGAATACCAAAACAGCACTCCAGAAAATTTTAGAAAATATCCTTGGAAAAGGCAATGAGGATCACAACCCAAGGAAGCCCAGCAGAATGAATCCATCTGGCACGACAGGAAATTAAATGGAAAGGGGGAGAATCCAACAAAAAGAAAAAGTCATGGCAATGATAAGTCAATACATATCAGTTATAATGATCAATGTTAATGGTCTCAATTCACCAATCAAAAGAAGTAGACTGGCAGAATGGGTCATGAAGCAAGATTTAACAATATGATGCATACAATAAACACACTTAATTCAGAAAGAAACTCATAGACTGAAAGTTAGAGGGAGAAAACAATACTCCATGTTACAGGAACCCAAAAAATAGCAAGAGTAGCTATCTTCTTTGCAGATCAAGTGGATTTCAAACCAACACTGCCTAAGAGAGACAAAGGACACTACATCCTTGTAAAGGGAACAATCCAACAGGAAGAGATGACAATCATAAATATCTATGCACCAAACACTAGTGTACACAACTATATAAAACAAATACTAATGGACATGAAAACCTAAATAAGCACTAATACAATACTAGTGGGGGACCTCAATATGCCACTGTTGCAAATAGGTAGATCAACTAGACAAAAAATAAGCAATGAAATACTAGGACTCAATCAAATTCTTGAATAAATGGACTTCATAAATGTTTACAGAGTGTTCCACCTCACAAAATCAGAATACACATTCTTCTCAGCTGCACGGGGGTTGTTCTCCAAAATAGACCACATACTCGCTCATAGAACATGTTTAAGTAAGTGCAAAGGAACTGAAGTTATCCCTTGTATATTATCAGACTATAGCATGATGAAATTGGAGATCAATAGTAAAAGGAACCGCAAGAATTTCATAAACAGGATACTTCTGCTGCTGCCATTGCTGCTGCTGCTGTTTGTCTGCTGCTACCTCCTGCCTGGTCTGTGATGCCCCTCTGCCAAGCCTCCCTGCCTTGCAGCCAGCCAATTATGGACTGAAACCACTTCAAACTAATTCTTCATCTCTGAATTGCAATGGACCTTAAGTTACCTAACTCAATGGATTCATATACCACTAAGGAACACCCTCTATATAGTTTTATAGACATCATGTGAAATGAGGACTAAATTTCAAGTCAGTGCAAGAAGTATTTTTTAAAATCTCAAGACACAGAGGAGGCCTCTGGGTCAGCCTGCCATGGTTCCCAGCCCAGAGGAGACTTCCAGATCTGTGTGCCATGGCTCCCAGGCAGGAGGAGCCTTCCGGGTAGGCATGCCACAGCTCCTAGCACAGAGGAGGTAAGCCGCGAAGGTGCCAGGAACACACACACATACACACACTGCATCAAAATGAGAAGACAGGTAAACAAGCCACAGAACCAGAGTTCCAGATCACTTACAGCAACCCCAAAGGGAAACGCGATGGAACAATAATACTCAACCACCTGGACTCCCTGAAATAGCAATGAAAGAGGATCTGGAAAAAATCAAATCAGAAATAATTTCTTGCATAACAGCAAAGATTGTGCCCATGGTGGAAGACATGATTAATAAATCTAGAGAGGATACAGACAAAAAAAATGAGGAGCTGAGGAACATGATGGAATGCCAACATAGGAAACAAATTGAATCCATAAAACAGATGCAAACAGATTTCCAGGAGATTAAAAACTCCATTGAAAGTTTACTCAGCAGAATGAGTCAATGT